GGAGCGGCGCGGCGCGGCGCGGCGCCGCGTGCGCGCGTAAACAAATACACGGAAGCCGCCTCGTTCGCCCGAGCGGATTGCGCGGCGACAAGACAACGCCACGGCGTTTCAAACACGTGGCTCGTTCTCCACGAGGCAAGCAGTCTGTTGGTGCAATTTAGGATACCACCGAATTCGCTGTTCAGCGAGTTACCTTAGCAGATGATTCAAATACCAAACACTGTCCATGGCCTACATAATTGCTGTCTACATTTCGTTGTGCCTCTCACGTCACTGAAGTTCGCAATGGGAGTGAATGTGTAGGAATGGCGTTCCCGCCTCTTTAAAACGTGCCACTGGTCAAGCTTTCACGAGACGCCGATAATTGAGTTGATGATATGAGGCAGTCCCGGTGCTCTGCTCACTATATTTTCTCACGTTTGAGGATTGATGAACCTCTTTTGAAGATGTTGCCAGACCAAAATGAAATTTCCTATATTCCTAATATTCTCGTCATACTACTTACGTAATAAAGTGGAGTATTGTTAATGCCTGCAGACCGAATAAGAGATTTTTTAGTCGAAAACTCGTACTGTGGTACCCTGATATCGAAAACTAGATAAATCTTGTTCCTATGTGTTGTGAATACTTCCATAAGCACGTTAGTAGTAGTAGAATCGACATCTTGTGAGAATCCACAAAACGCGTGTCTGTCCACATGTGATAGACGCTAGCACCTAAAGATATTTTCATGATTTCTCCGAAATTGATATTCCCCAGATAAATCTGACTGAGTTCGAGACCCTGCGAATTTGAAAACGGATATTTAAATTTGGAGGATGTTTCCCACGAAGTCAGAAAGTATTTTCAAGTTTTCCCCAAAAAGGGTCCGAATTTTTAATTACATTTTTTTATTTACTACTGATTAGCGACAACGCAAACTTTAAAAAGCGGGGTTTAATTATAGATTTAGGTTTTAATTTTCTTGCCGGCGCGAGCTTGCAATTTTTCTAAATAGCGAAAAATTTCAACAACTTTTTGGCGTTTTCCTACCAAACTAAAAATGGAAAATAGCAGATTTTTTTCTATAGCAAAACGCTGTCTTCAAAGACATCTTTAAAATAATTTTATGAGAAAAATATTGTTTAAAAATAATTATTCAAAAATCATTATTCTTCAAACTTTTTATTTATTTTTTGTTCTTCTGTAATGACACAAATACCCCCCAGAGGTTTCATGTTTGTTGAACTCTTATAATTTCTTCAAAATCCCAAAAAAAGTTTACAAAATTAATGCCGAAGGAAATTATGAGCTGTTCGTTACCATCACTATTTAACGTTCATTGTTGTTATTTGAAAATAAAAACAACCTCTAGTGACCTTAAATACGGGATTAAAAGAGTTATTTACTGAGCAGTTGAAGCTATGACCATTAGCAAATATGACTTTTGATGAAAATACTTACCCATTTGCCTTACTAGATTCTGGGGAAAGCTTCTTTGAGGACAAAACTGCTAAATTGAAAATCGAAAACACACTTCATTGTTGTACTATTAAACAAGGAAAGCCTCTTAAGATTCTGGGGAAAAAGTGTTTACACGTTTTTTACTCTACCTTTCTCTTTAGCGACGTATTCAAACAAGATATATGAAGAGGTTAGTAGCTCTGTATTCTTTGTCGACTTCAATTGATTTTAAAGCCTTCCTGTCGTAGGTTCTTGCTTCTTTGTAAAGCATATAGTTTGCCTTCAGGTGTGCCAGCTGCCGCGTCACATCATAAAAGACACCGATGCGGTCCACGGTGTGAAAGGAAGATTATTTGCCGGCTGACTCAATTAAAAAGACGTCTTGCTGAGAAAGGCGGACAAGCAAACACATTCTTTTAGGCATGTGTATCTCAACGAAAGTTGGCCGATTCTTCGAAAATTGCTGTAATTCTTGAAAAAAAAAGTTATGAGTTCTTATTTTATATTATTTCCGCCTACGATTACCCGTCCTTTTCTTGCCAGAATTTTTATGAATCCTTTTTTTCACTCCAATGCTTAAAATTATGAGAATTATAAATGCCAACAGTTCAGTGATAGATTTAGGATTCATAATTCATTGGCGTAAATATTATAGAGTATGGTTATATTCTATTTATCACAGTGTACCTGTATTCAATCCAAGGTTTAGATGTGTTGCTCTTTTACAGGAGCTACTGTAAATTAAAATAAATTCAACTAAATAATTTGTATAAACTACTTACTAAATCCGGAATGCATATTTACTTCTTAAAATTTTATTTTTAAATTGACTAGCGAAATTCTGTGAATTTTATTGCCAAGTGTCTTTATGATTTGATTTGGTGGAAACAACTTTGATATTCCGGAAAGAAAAAGGGAACGTTCAGTTCTTTCTCAGATGTCAATTTAATTGATATCTAGTTTCCGGTGCAGGTGAAGAATGGCTGAACATCACACCGCATGAGTTCTAAACAAAGGCAGGATTGTAACAAAAAAAATTGTCCCCTCCTCTATGTATGTCTGTTTTTGCCCATCTCCCGTGAACAAATTTTCATTTACGGGCCCCCATACGTCGAATTTTGATACGTACCAATATTTCATTTTGTGGTACCATTCACGAATGAGCGATGTACATTAATATCAGCGCTCCAGAAAAGTCTCCACGCAGTGCCACCTTGTGGTAGAACAGGCTACAGCTTGTTAGAAAAGAAAACGTAAATTTACTTACTCACCACAATTCATAGAAGATAATGGAAGTATTGTCCCCTTCATTCTTTCCAAGTGATCTGCCGTTACTTTCCAACATAAATGCAATTTTTCAATAGCAGGCCCTTAACCCGACTGGCAGCAGAGAGACTTACACTTACGTTCTATACAATTCCTAACTGCAATTTTGCTTTTATACTTGATGTTATGAAACATCTTGCATACTACGTTGTTAGTTTTAAATATTTTTATTTTTATTTCATTTGCTTTGGCAGTTGAGAAAAACTATCTTTGAAACGAAAAACCGATATTTAGACACTATCCAAACTAGTAGTATAACTAACTTACAAAGAAACGCGCCGCCAGAAGTTTATATAAAAATATCTGTTTTGATTTTTATTACATTGAATTTCCTGCGCCCGAGATTTATGACTATTTCTCTTGTAAAAAATTAAATAAGGCGATTTATACTTACAGACAAATATGAAAAAGAAATATAATTAATTCCGCGAAAAATAGAGTATTGTCTCATCTCTATTTCGCCACCACTAAACCAATAAAGAATATATAATAGATCCGTCGGATAGAAATCAAAGTCAGTTTGCTTTATTCTATATTATTTGAGTTCTCATCATTAGCTTGTATAATCATTTCATTTAAGGAATATCGAGTAAAAACATGTGTTATTGTACATTCGACCTCAATGAGGAATATTACATGTTACTTGAGATCGCGACCGAAGTTCCTACAGAAAATCGAATACAAACCTGGTATTCCGTCGCTGTATCAGAGTTGATGAATGGGAAATATTGTTTAACGGAAATGGAAGCGGAAAGAGGGCAAGCTTTTCCTGGTTATCCTCTAACTATTCTTTCCGGGCATTTAGTTGCGCGGGCTGTGTTTTCCGGTATGCCAGCTAAGTGCATTCAATAAACGAGACGTCGTTAGTACTCTAGAAACCTAGGAAATCCGTAGAGGTGGCTGCACGTAAAAGCGGCGAATTCGATGAATTGAACCTGCAAAAGAATTTTTGAGTAATAATATGGACGTTTGCGAATCTTATTTGTTTCAAACATTAGCCGTTTTTAAAATTACCGGCCAAAATTATAAGCAGAAGGTTTTCTAGTTTTTTTCTAAATTTTCAGTGATACAAATTGTTTTAATGTTTAGCCTAAGAAATCGCTTTTTACTAACATTATAATACTGTATTGCTATACATTGTCTATATAGCGTGAGTAAACCCGGAACTTTATAAACTACAGATATTATAACATAAGTGTCCTTGATGATTTGGCGTAAGCATTATTTTCTTATAAGTTACAGATTTGAGATAATAATAAAACATTTATGAAAACGTAATGTTTGCCGGACCTTTGAATCTCCTTTGCTGCTTGAGGTTTTCGTTACAGTAAAGTGTGTTGCTATGTCGTAGTTGGAGAGTAGCATTTCCGATGCAATCTGAGAGCCTTAGTAACATTAGTGCTGCCAAGCTGGCGTGCGGGGCTTGCGACGAGGTGCGCGGCGGTGCGGCGCTTCACCGGCCATGGACGAGGCGCACGCCGGGCAGGCCGCTGGCCCCGGCCGATTATCCAAAACTGTGGCGCTCATTGGATCCGCCGGGGCGCTATGAGTGCGTTTGCAACCGGGCGGAGGCGGGCGGGCGGGGGCGGGGGCGGGGAGCGGCCGCGCCCACGTGCTCCTCGCAGTGCCTTCAGAGCTCTCTGCGCGTCGGTACTCAGCTCGCCTTCTGGTCGGCGTTGTCAACCCTCGTGCTGAAGCATTGGGGCGTTTGACCTCTGCGCCTGATTCTTTTTCGCCACGCGCATTTAGAACTCGTTTTGATCTGAGGTATGAGTACTTGTTTTCTTCCCCTTCCCGTCTTGTTGCATGCCACCGCCTCCCTGGAAGTATTGCATAGAAAGGTTAGTTTCGCCTTTCCCTTAGTACGTGTTTTTCTTTACTCCCACCAAATCGTTTTCCCAGACCGGTACTGCGAACTGGAGCTACTTTTAGGTCTCAGGTTAGTAGTCAGACAAACTCCGTGCATGGCTACAAAAGAATATGGCCTCCAGAAAATCTAACTTCTGAAGTGCCTACGTGCAAGTAAATATGTTTGCTTTCGACCATCACCAGATGCTATAAAAACGCTTGAATTTGAATGGTCAGTTGCCATATTCAACATAATCGATTTCCCATCCCTATAACTCAACCATGTGAGGGGAAGGGACTAACGCGCGCTGAACGTGTTTCAGACCGGCATAGTTGAAAGACTTATGCTTTCTCATGTGGTACACGAATACACGTTTTTAATATAAAATATTTTATAGCAAATTATTTTTAATTATCAAATTATTATAATTTGTATGAAGGTGCACGCTACACAATGCTTTTAAAAAACTGGTTAACTTTTCGGTTGATATCGTTTTGCTCACGAAATGTAGTGTATTTCAAATCAAAAACATGAACACGCTCGAATTTTTTCGAAATAAATGAAAAATATATCTAAGAAACAGGCAATTTTTTACTCGTAAAAATTGTATTAATTATAGTTCACAAGAGCCACGTAGTAATGACGCTAAAAACACTTTTCCCTTCTTACACAAAATAAACAAATTTGCTCTGGCTAAAAACATTTTCCTTTAAATGCAATTGTAAAAATGCGCCACTTCTCTTGTTCATCAATATAGCTGTATTAACAATGTAAATAACAAACAAGCAGTTTTGTAATTTCTTTACTAATACTAACCTAGAGTTTCTCGTAAATTTGTTGAATTGCACTCTTTACTCTTTCACAAGCAACAAATTATGCGTATTATAATCAATAATATTTATAATGCGCGTAAAAAAAATTAAATGCTCGAGAAAGAAAAGTTGAAAATATTGGAAATATTTTTAATCCATTCGTGATAGGAAGAGTTTTCTCCCGTTAGTAACGTATTTCTATTATCATGTTTTTAATTGCTTCTATTTAGGTAAAATCTATTATACATCCTGATCATAGCAATAGCATTTGTCTGGTCCTAAACGTAGCTTCTTACAATGAGTTATGGATTGGGTGTAATGTAATTTCATTAAAAAAAGCCTGCGTGAGCAATGCATTACTGTTTATAGTGGAAGTTTACTTTGCTTAATGATTATGTTCAAACCAAATATTATAAGAAAACGTTGGTGATCTCGACAATGTGTTTTCCCTCGGGTTGTTTTCAATCTTGCCCTGAAAAAACTTGGAATGTTATTCACTCCCTGTGGCTCTGTATTATGTATTTGAGTAATATTTAGAACAAATGCGAATTTTGGTCTCATTTCAAATAATTTTCAATAGATTATGTTCTGCGAAAATTGCAATCTAGTTTTTTTCTATTTATTTTCATACAACCCTCTCTTTGTAAAGCTTCCTGAATTTAAAATTTTAGTTTGTTGTAATTCCCTGCAATCCCAGCCTGTTGATTGTTACTGTACATGTACCGAATGTGATCGAAAATAATAATACACATTTTGTTAAAAAATTGCGACTTTGTTACGTATTAAATATTTTAGAAGTCAGGCAACGTTTCTGCGGCTAACGCAAATGTATTGATACAGGCATTAGTTTCTTGATCCAAAGTCGATGAAGTATGGCTATTAATTGTGTAACTATTTAAACACCGGATGGGAAATAGACTTCGAGATTTTTGGAAATGACCAATTTGGTTACAACAACACCCGTGTTATTCACACACGCCGGTGTATTTTCGGCTGCGTAATCCAATCGCGCGCCAGTTTCCGCGTGTTTTATATCGAGCGCAACCTCGAATTAACGCGTCGGCGGTCCTCCGGCGGCTGCCCGGTGCGGCGGGCGGCCAACGAACCCAGGGCACGCAGAGCAAAGTAAAGCAAGCAACGCCCGCGCTGCCAAAGCGCTGCCAAAGCGCTGGCGGCTGCGCCGCCAGCCGGGCGGCCGCGTCCAACAATCGGAGCACGCGCCGCGCACGCCTCCTCAGCTTGCGCCCGTCGCCCGCGTTAACTTAGGCCCACCGCCGCCCATTATAGGCCACCGCGAGGTCGCAGCCCCTGCCCCCCAACCGCTCACGCGGTGCGCTCCTTCGCCGAACACGCTCTTATTTTAATCTCGCTGCGATCTTATTCAGGTGCTTCTTCTCACTCTTCTTCGAGTGTTTCCTCCTTTCGGCTGTACTCCCTTTCCTTAATTCATTTACATAAGATGCTACCGACGACGGCAGTATTTATTGTTTCTTCTGTTTCTAAATTAATTCCCCATACAATCCAAGGGGTTAAAGTTTTTTTAATCAACTGTACGCATGTGACAATTCAAAAATATGCCAATATGATTATTATTGAGCTATTAAAACTTGCAGAGTTTCAACCCGGAATAAAAAATGTAGCAGCATAAATGAGATACTTACAAGATCCTTTAAAGAGAGTTCCAAAAATTGCAATTGTAACATTTTACATTGTTTCTCAAATTTAAGAATAATTAGTGTATAAGGAGGAATGCATGAGGCTTAAGGTTAATCCAATGTAACAACAAAACTTAGTGAATCCAAGATTGGGTTGTCGAAAAACTCGAATCGTTTTTGGGAGACAAACATTCGAGAATACGAATATTTCATTCATAATTAAGTCTTATAGCATAAGCTGAACGATTTTTCCAATAACATGAATTCAAGTTTTGGTTCCAAGATGAGCGTTGCTCCTTAAAGCGAGTAAGCGCTGCGTTAGGAAATACAATTGACACATTGCATCAATTTCTGTAATTCAATCATACTCAAATACAGTGATAAAGATTATACTTTCAGCATTAAATTTACAGGCGAAACATTTCCGGACGATATAAAGTATTTCTGAGTGAATTTATATAGAAGATTACAGACTTTTCGTGGCGTGTACTACTTTCGCATGAATCGGGGACACTTGTGGAAGAATACTGACCGTATGATACCTTTGCAAGGTACAACATGACCGTCGACGAGGTATGTTCTTCTGTGAGCCAGAAGTCGCATTTACGGACGCCTTGGTGTGAGCTGACAGAAAAATTCTTTCTGTTTTTCTGTATGACGGATCTTGATGACTCGCTTGAAGGATTGCACCACATGCAAGGACGCTGCTCACATTGGCACACACCATATTTAATGCAGATAGTTCAAAAATCTATTGAGAATTTCGTCGACAAACGCCTTACGTATAAAAGACAACAATTAAGCTTTGTTTGACTAAAATGTTATGCGAATGGAAAGACTTTTCTAAAACTATGATAGCACAGGTATTACAGTGACACTAAACTGCCACTCCGCGCTTCTCACATCAGCTGCTAATTGCCGTTTCAAACTGACTTCCAGTTCTCAAAAGGGCTGCTTTTCTAACAACTGCAAGCATTCTTCATCCACGTGCGGTGATGGCCCCTGAGCATTCCATTGTATTGCCTCTGTGCGAATAGTTATGCTGCAAAGAATCAAATATGCATGTATTTTCTACTAGTATGCGTGAATTAAATGATAGCATTATTATTTTGCAACATTACATAATTATATTGTCAGTTCTAAAAAATGTCAAATTATTCTAAAAGGAAAAACCGGCATACTGTGATTGTTAACCAGAAAAATTCTCAGTGTTTCCTTCACAGTGAAAGAAATATGAAATCTATATAAAATGAAAATAGGGCCAATTAAGCCAAGGGTAGATTGGAATGTCGAAATTGCGTTACGCTAGTGAATGACGTACCCAAAAGTTCGCCCATTCGTAAGAGAAAGCAACCTCGTGTAAAGAAGAAGCAGAAAATTGTTAGTGAAATTACGAGTGCAAAGTGCTTTCCAACCAACAACAGGCGGAGAGCGAAGAAAGCAAAGGCAGAGGCAGTGCGGCAGGAGGGAGAATGGAGAGAAATAAAGCAGTGCTGTGGCGAAAGAGCAGGCAGAAAGCAAGCGAGGCGTGCTGCTGAGAGGGTTGTGCTTGAAGCAGAGAGAAAAGCGACGCGAGCGAGTCTGTTTGTGTTGTTGAAGAGAGAAGGAGAGATGAGGAGGAGAGAGCCAGGCGGGAGAGAGGCAGGCTGCAGTTAAGGGGCCCAAGAAGAAAGGGGCAGAGCCTGCATGCTAGTTTGTGGAGAGCAGGGGTGTGTGGAGAGCAGAGACGGAGGAGGCTTGCCGTTAGCAGGCGCTGCGGAAGCGGAGCGACCGAGGGCGCCGATGTCATCATGAACTGGGCGCGGCCGCCGAGGGGCGCTGCGAGGACCTCGAAGCCCGAGTGACGCTGCGCGAGAAGGGACATTCTGTGGAGTGCCACCTTTTAAGACCAATGACTAACAAAATGAGAATGGAAATAAAAAATTAGAACTGTGCAACTTTAAAGCAAACATAAATATAATATGATGCACGCTAATAAAATTGAACTTCAAAATAATCTTTCGTCTGCATTTCGACGAGCCATTTTAATGCAAGTATGTTCATTTTAGAATTATTGAATGAGATCTATTACCTTTTTTATATCGTACATTTGAAATATATGGCATTCGAAACAATGTACAATTTTTTAAAAGATGCTGCATTTGATACTGAAAAATTGTTGTGGCTAACGATTCTGGAAGTTGGGTTACTTCATTTTCAAAAGCTGCTTACCATTCCTATTATTTACGTTTTCAGTAGTAATTTAAAACTGCTGTGTGAACTGAATACAATACAAGATGCAGTGAATATTAGAAACGTTACTTCTATTAAGATACAACTGTGAAGAGATGATAGCTCCGCAATACGTTCAGGAGTTAAAGAAAAACCAGACAAAATCTTGGGTAAATAACTTCATGTTTCACATAATCTGTACAGTTAGATCATGATGCGGAATATAGAAGTTCTAGAATACCGATAATTACGACCAATTTTCCAACATATGCACTTAGAACATTATCGTTCTCTAAACAGTAGCAGGTGTTAAAGAGTCTAAACAGTCGGTAGTTTTGTGTTGCTGTTACACGAAATGTAAGGCGTCTAACCACGCAAATGCTTTCATTATCAATAATAGTTTTTGCAAACAAGTATTTTCGCTAGAGAAAAAATTACATTGAAAATATATTGTTATGAATACTTCTAAATTGACATTTAGTCAAATTTCGTATTTTTTTTTCTAACTGTTCAGTTCTGGTATTTTTTTCTCAACGCGCGTATTGGTTTTAGCTTTTGAAAGATATAATCGACATCTAAATCGTTCATTTCTAACTCCCAACATCTTTAAGGTATCTCCTTCAATTCACTGCCGCAACGCTATGTATAATGAGTGTCCTCTCTCCGGCCGTTGCACCTTGCCGACCAACCCCGCGATTGGCAGTTGGTGAAAGCTTGCATCTGCGAAAAAGTTGCTCCTTCTCAATCTTCTTTCTTCCTCCCGCCTCCACTTCCCCCTCCGACCGAAAGTCACGACCTTTCTCTTCCACGCCTGAATCTGTGCGAGGAAGGGTCAAACGAAAATCACGTGTTATCTGAAATTAATGGACGCGTTTTTTTGTGTTTTTTTTTTGTATTCACATTAAAGCTATCTATTCCAGGAGCTCATATGTTAACATTTTTAAAACCCCTTTTAAGAAAAATTCATTTAAGAAATAACAACTTCCGAAATTGTTTCATTCTCTTAGATAAATTATTTGTAGCAAAGGAACTGATTGCTTGAAATTCCATCTTTAGCTGAAAATGTAACACATTGGATATTTTCATTCATCGATGATAATATATATTTAATGTGAAAAATCGTTAGCGATGTTATAATTGAAAAAGTAATAGTAATATTTTTGTATCGATTAGCGTATTAAACAAAATATTTCACTGGCTAAATGGCAATATTAACGTTTTTTACTTAATTTTTGGTAACAAAATTTTAGAGATCCTGTTTATTCTTTGCTTTTAAAGCTCATAGAACACCCCGAGTATTTTCATTACGAAAACTGTTTACTACTACAAGTATTCGAGTATTGTTACGTTTCTTTTAAAGTTGCTATGATTCGTACTTTCATTTTTGGGGGCCAAGCTGTGAATCCAAGTAAACGCGTTGACACATATCTCAGAATTTTTTTATTACTGCCGACCATTGGAAATTCCATGGAGGGAAGCGCAGTTAAACCGTTTGCATTGTTTAAAGTACTCAATATACGTGTAAATGCTTGCGCCAACTCACATTTCAAGCAAGAAAAAAAACGCATGGTTCGAGAAGGAACTCTGTAGTTCACACCTGTGAAGCGATGCCCCCGCTTGTCGCCTAGGTTACTTTAGATTTTTTAACTGAAATGGGCTATAAGCAAGAAACAATAACTTATCTCCACCTTTTTTTCAACGTTCGGTGAAATTACAAGAAAAGAAACATTAGGCGAGAATTGCTAAAGTATTCTTTTGCTAATACTTTCATTCGCTCATTAGGATACATTCTTCTGATAACAAGGGTTTGATTTGAAAATATTGGTTTATAAATTTTTAAAATACATAAGAGATTACCACGCCTACAGGGGTGTACGATGTGTGAAAACTAGTCTACAAGAAGGAATGGGGCTTATTTGAAAACATTGGGCGAATACTGTACATTTTATAAATTCTGCAGAAATCTAGTCTTAAGTCAATATTACTGTAAAGTGCATCGTTTCATCATTTCAACCAAATGTTCATTAACACACGAAAAATACATACTCCACTAAAATACAGCCTAAAAATAAACTCATTTTCTCAGAATCTATAAACTGTTAACGTATCCCTTTCTGGTGAGCCCCACCCAAACTACGTCGCGGGAAAGGTGAGTGGACAGATTTTCCCAAAGCGTTGTTTTATTGGCAATCCGCAATGCGCTGAGCAATGAGGGGTTGCAGCCGCCAGCGGGGATGGCCGGGGCAGGGCGGCTCCGGTGCAGTTCCGGGCCGGGGGAATGAGAACGGCGCGGGGCGAGGAAGGCGGCGCGTGGGTGCGCGGTTGAGTGGTGGAGCGTGGCCTGGGCGGAAGTGGCAGTGAGATAGAGCAAGCCGTGGGAGGGCGGAATTCAACTGGAAATTTCTGTCATGGAATACTGAAGTGACATAATACTTCCTTTTCGACTTTTATTACATGATAAATAACCCAAGCAACTCCGGTTTACTCTCGTAAAAATACCACGATAAATGAAATAGTTGAGAGAAACTGTCTGATGAATACTGCAAAACAACATTGCGTAGTACAAACACACCAACACTTCTTTACCTACCAATAATTATTAATTGAGTTGCTCTTCCATAACGCAACACGTGAGTATAAATAATTTTAATGGTGGGTGACTTCTTCCTTAGCAGCGTCCCACTATTGCGTGGCTCACATGTATCCGAAGGGGTGCAACAACGAGCGTGATAATGAGTTTCAGGCGCCCGTGCACGCAGCATGAGAAAGGCCAAGATATGTAAAACAAATATTTGAATTTTTTCTGTCGCGAAATCGAAAATTGCCTCATTGTTTTTCCATATTCCCAGTTCTTGGTATCTAAAAAAACTATTACACACCTCTTTCAGAACCGGAGGCTGCTCTCGTTTTCTTTTAATTTCTGCGCGCATTGCGCACAGCTTCTCTCTCTCTCTCTCTCTCTCTCTTCTCTCTCTCTCTATATATATATATATATATATATATATATATATATAAATATATATATATTATATATATATAACAAAGTTGTGTTAGTTACACCATTTATATCTCAAGAACGGCTGGAGCCAATTTTAAGTATCTATGACTTGTTGGTTTCATTCTTCGCCCGAATGAATAATTCTTCAAATATCGGAAAACTTCTCAAAAAAAAGAGAAAAAAATACATATTTCATGTTAAATGTAACCCGCAACACACTGCACGATTTTTGACTATATATCGTTAAATAACTCCCAAAGTGGAGCATTTTAGGTCATTAAAAACTAAAATTTTGTATTTTTCTTGAACATTCTACTACACTTTCGCTGGTCCGGCCATTCTCGATATTAACCCCACCTGCTTAAAGACATACAGAATCTGCCACTTAATGTGTATGCAGAGGGATAGAGAGAGACAGAGGGACGATAGAGACGTAGACGAGTAGACAGAGAGAGCAAGAGAGAGGTGAGAGCCGAAGACCTATGAGTGAGAGCAGGTCGGAGTGAGAGGAACGAGCGAAAGATAGCACGGAGAGTGGAGGCAAGACGGAGAGAGTCAGAGAGAGGGAGGGCCGCGAGAGAGAAGGCAGAGAGGGAGAGACGTAAGAGAGAGCGGAAATACGCAAGAGAGCGGGGGAGATAGAAACAGGGAGAGACAGAGAAGGAAGGGGGAAGAGGAGGTGAAGGGCAGAACAACGTCTGCCGGGTATTCCGCTGATTTCGCTTATATATAAGAAATTACTTATCTTCAATTTCATTTAAACAAACAAGTTATGTAAGCGTGTAAAAAAATTCAGGACATTGAGCCCATAAGCACTATTATTATGTTTGGTAAAGCTGGTTTCTTGACAACTTTTAACAATTTTCCATAGCCATAAGTTTTTTAAAGTCGACAAACGCTACCTGGTTGCGCACTTCTCAAACGACTGTTCGTGCCAATCTCATACATGCACTCAGCAGCAATGAGGAGCGACGAGTGCATAGCGGGCGGGTTGTGGTAATACGGTACGCGAAATGTGGACCGCACTCCCGCTGGCGAGTGGAGCGGCTTTTATTCCTTCGCCGGCCGCTCGCAACAACGTTTTGAAACCCGCGTTGGCAGCCGCTCTTGCTGCTTGCGTTTGCAAGGGCCTCTGGAGCGAGCCCTGGAGGTCCTCTGTGAAGAAGACTCAAGACAAACTCATTTCAGATGAATATTTAATTTACAACAAAACCAAATTGATACCAACCAAAACAACAATAACAAAAAATATGATACCGATGTAGGATACTAGAGATAGTCTATTCTTCAGACACCCTCTGATCCAAAAAGACTGCGTCTTTCCGTGCACTCCCGAAACTTTTCATGTCCTGTGTTGTTTGTTTAGCTGCTGTTCGGCGTAGTCATAAGAAGTCCATGATGAAGGAAATGCTTTACTCGAATACTCTGATATTAACCATTGCTTTGCATGCTCGGAATAATTTTATATTCTTGTGTTCTCGCCACTTCTTTACGAAGCTTTCTACTGTGACCGTGAAAACTTGCTGCCAAATTCCTCTGCATCGAATTCATCACTTTTATGAAAGGACGCTTTACTGGTCACAGATGTGATGCGGCGGAAACATACGTATCCAAATGTATGAGAACATATTGTTGTCTTAATCTATGATATGATTTAATCAAAATTCGTTCTAATTTCGAATAAAAGTTCACTTTTTTATTTCGTCCTAATCTAAAACATATAAATTAGATCAATGGATCACATTTTCATTCCTTTCCGTGTTATCGACATGATCCAATTGAATTAAAAGATAACTCAGATTTCAACGCTGGCCATTCTGAAGGTCAAAATCTCCCGTCTAAAGTTCCAAGCGTCTAAAGTTTCGTTTGTGGTCATCAGATGATCGCCGATCAACATCTTATCCGCATGCCGCAAAGCCCTTTCGCCTTTATTTTTGCATTCGTCGTGTTTTCTTTTTCGCTCGAAGCTTTCACGCTCCGACCGCGGGGGGCGGCGCCGGCACCGCGATAGCGCGCTTCCAAGCTCGCTTCCGCCTTCAGACTCAGAGGCAGAAGAACGGGCTGGTGAAGGAAGCTGCGGTTGGGAGGCGGCTGTCGGCGGCGTGTAATGGTGCAACGCACGCGCTCTGTGGAGGGGGCAAATGCGAAGTGTGCGCGCAGCCGAGACAAAGGAGAGGATGATTAAAGCAGTTCCGAAGGGATATGAATGTATCTTCTGTTCTGCATGGAACACTCCCGCTGTTTCATCAGGCGTGCTTCAGCATGTTTGTTACCATAAACCCTGTACCAAATTGACACTAAATTACTTCGTTTTTTCCTAATAGCTGTCTTTATTACCCAATGAAATTATAGTTGAAATGTATTATTCATTTGTGGGAGAAAAATTTTAATCCTTTCCCAATTTCGAATAAATTTTCTCTGTTAACGCTAAGAAACATTTACAAGTAAAGATGCAGCGTAGTCAACAGTAAAATAGTTAAAGCAGTTGTGAACATACAGACGTATTATTTTCCCTGTGCCGGCCTTCTCTTTCATTGACGCATCTTTTTACTTTATTTTGTTAAAACCAAGTTATAAAAATCAATTTGTAGATTCTAGGAAGGTATGAGGCTCAAATCAAATTTCAAAACCGGCACCCTCACGACTGCATTTATACTTTAGTAATAAAATAAAAAGTGTGTGTTTACTAAATATAAGAATACTTACATTGAAGAGTAATAAAGGCCTCCCCTCGCCCTCCTCGCGCCTGGAGGGTGAGGGGAGGGCGAGGGGAGGGCGAGGGGAGGGCGAGGGGAGGGCGAGGTCGGGGGCGTGGCGGTAGCTGCGCCAGTGGACGCGGAAGTGCCCGCGGCGAGC